CCTTCTGTGAACTTTTAATGTGGAAAATGACACAAAATGCTCTTATTAGTGCTTTACATGATTTGCAGGTGATATAGGTGTAAGGAAGGCTAAGGAGCGGTTTTGGAGTCAAAAGTGATGAAAAGAGGCCAACTATGAATTTCCCAAGTAACCCATGCAAAACAGGCCAAAATCAGAGAACAAGATCCACCGCGGTTCCACCGCGACCGCGGCAGAACCGCGGTGGAAGCAGCTCTGAAGATGGAGATTCCGCGAGGGTGTTTGGCCGCGGTTCTACCGCGACCGCGGCAGAACCGCGGCAGGCCCAGTAAACTTCAGGGACCAAAGTGTCAATTACGGGATTTTTAGACCTAAACCCTATTTAAAACATTAGACTTCGCCCAAGAGAGGCATGTATTGATTTTTTAGGTTTCTTAGCAAGGAAAACCATTGTGAGAAAATACTCTAAACATCTTTCTTCTTTTCTTTTGATTTTATGATGAATTCAAGCTTAGTTTATTCTCCCATATCTATGAGTAGCTAAATTCCTTGCCTAAGGCTTTGATGGAACCTATTGGGTGATGAACTTCTTGTTTATGTGAATACAAATTGCGAGTTTAATCTTTATTTGTTCAACTTCGTGTTCATTGTAGTTAATTGACAGGATCCTCAATTAGCTGTGCCTATTTAGTGTGCATAACTTGAAAAAGAGTGCATATTTAGGGTATTGTTGAACAACACCACTCCTAGATTATTAGAGGAATCTATAATTGCGGGTTTAAAGGCGGGATTAGGAATAACGAAGCCTTGGGTGCAATCTAAAGTGAATTGTGCTAAATAAAGTAAGCTAGTGTAGCTCGGGAGAGTGCAATTAGTATATTACTGTGGTTACTCGGGAGAGATTTACGGTAAGATGAGCGTTCATGATTGATAGAGATGTGTTGGTAAATTTGTATGAGCATAAACAGAAGGGATTCCATCAATAGGGGAAATCATTGCCTTAACTTTTTCTCATAATTGTTTACAACCCTTTTAATTTAGTTACAGCCATTTAGTTACTTGCAAGCTAGTTATTAAAGAACACTCAACTGAGAATTTGAATATTTGGGAAGCTGGTTCTGAAGACTTAGTGGGTCTGAAGATAGCGGTTGATAGGTTAACTCTCTGTGGATTCGACCCTGGGCGTAATACTCGGGTTATATTTGCAACGTCCGCAGAGTCCTTTTTATAAGGCATAGTTGGGCGTGATCATTATCTGCTGGTCAATTCGTTTTTTATCCGTATTTTAAATATGAGTCGGATCGGGTAATTTATTCGTTTTTGCATATTCATTCGCGAGACACTCATATCCGACCTGTCCCGCCCGTTTGCCACTCCTACTCCCCCATTCAAAATTACTGTACTTGTTATGTTTTACTTCTTGAGAGTTAATTTGATTAATCTTGGAAGTGAAATTGGATTATTGAATCAACTCATTATTTTAAATTGAATTTTAAATATTAAAAAACTATACGAAAGTATAACAAGTTGTAACTCTTAACATGGCAATACAATAAAAAATATATTTTAAAATATTAGTGAAAATTTATATAATCCGACTCTCGAGAAGAAATACGTAATAACTAATTTGCGACAGAGAAGGTATGTTATATGAAAAAACTTGCACACTCAGTATTCACATTAATTCAATAAATGTATTACATATGTCTTTAAATAAATTATTATATCACTTAATCATAGTTAACTAACTTCATAATGTTAACATATAATTTTATTAGTAACATGATAAATAATGGAGTAATATATTTTGAAGCAAACATAAAGTATAACGGGACATTGTTTTATAAATCATGGCAACACATGGAGCATTAAGCCCACCTCAGCCAGGTCTGACTTGTCAATAAAAACCAGGCATTCATGAAAACAACCACCTTCTTTATTACTTACCTGCACAAGAAGACATCTTAAAGGACCACCTTTTCTGCAAAATATGTTCAATATCTAACACACCGACGGACTCTTCGAAACATTACTCATATATATCTCTATTCTCCCCCATTCTGCTCCTCTTTCAAACATAATGGCTGGTATACTAATACTGAAATGCTTGTTTTTCCTAGTATCAGTTTGTCTTGCCGCAAACCTTGCAATATGTACAACTAGTAACATCCCAAACACTAAGAAAACCTACATCATCCAAATAGATAAATGGGCAAAACCAGATGTATTCATTGACCATGTGAAATGGTACTCATCACTAGTAAAATCAGTACTAGCATCGAGGCCAGAGAGAGAAACTGCAAGGGATGAAGAAGAGAGAATTCTTTACAGCTACCATACTGCTTTTCACGGAGTTGCTGCTCAGCTCACTGAAGAAGAAGCAAGTAAATTACAAGCTCAACATGGTGTTTTAGCTGTTTTTCCTGAGACTAAATATCAGTTACATACAACTAGAAGTCCTCTGTTCCTTGGTCTTGACCGTGAGGACAGCAACAAGTTGTGGTCAGATAAATTAGCAGACCACAACGTAATTGTAGGTGTGCTTGACACTGGAATATGGCCGGAGAGCCCAAGCTTCAATGAGACCGGCATGACACCCATTCCAGCTCACTGGAAAGGTGCATGTGAAACAGGACGTGGTTTTGAAAAACATCACTGCAGTAAAAAAATTGTTGGTGCTAGAGTATTTTACCGTGGGTATGAAGCAGCATCTGGTAAAATAAATGAAAGAGGTGAGTACAAATCAGCACGAGATCAAGATGGACATGGCACTCATACAGCTGGAACAGTTGCAGGTTCTGTAGTCCGTGGCGCGAATCTTTTGGGTTACGCTTATGGTACTGCGCGAGGAATGGCCCCAGGTGCAAGGATTGCAGCTTACAAAGTTTGCTGGGTGGGTGGATGTTTCAGCTCAGATATACTTTCTGCAGTTGATCAAGCTGTTGCGGATGGAGTAAATGTTCTGTCAATCTCATTAGGAGGTGGCGTTTCGTCTTATAATCGTGACAGTTTGTCAATTGCAGCATTTGGAGCTATGGAAAAAGGGGTATTTGTTTCGTGCTCAGCAGGAAATGGTGGGCCTGATCCAATTAGTCTTACAAATGTGTCGCCGTGGATTACTACAGTAGGAGCCAGCACTATGGACAGAGATTTTCCAGCAACAGTTAAGCTCGGGACAGGTAAAGTTATTACTGGAGCTTCACTTTATAAAGGTAGGAGAAATCTTTCAACAGAAAAACAGTATAGTTTAATTTACTTAGGAAATAATTCGAGCAGCCCAATGCCCAGTTCATTATGTTTAGAGGGTACTTTAGATGGTGCGGAAGTTGCTGGGAAAATTGTGATATGTGACAGAGGAATTAGTCCTCGGGTTCAAAAGGGGCAAGTAGTGAAAGATGCTGGAGGTGTAGGAATGATATTGACAAACACTGCAGCTAATGGGGAAGAGCTGGTTGCAGATAGTCACCTTCTTCCGGCAGTAGCCGTTGGTGAAACGGAAGGAAAATTGATCAAGCATTACGCTTCAGGTCGAAATGCCACTGCCACTTTGAAATTTCTTGGTACTAAATTAGGGATCAGGCCTTCTCCGGTAGTTGCTGCATTTTCGTCGAGAGGACCTAATTTCCTAACATTGGAGATTCTAAAGCCAGATATGGTGGCACCAGGTGTGAATATTCTTGCAGCTTGGACTGGTGCATTAGGTCCATCTAGTTTGCCAACCGATCAACGAAGGACGAATTTCAACATATTGTCTGGAACTTCAATGTCATGTCCACATGTAAGTGGTATTGCTGCTTTGCTAAAGGCTAGGCATCCGGATTGGAGTCCTGCAGCTATTAAATCTGCACTCATGACAACAGCTTATGTTCATGATAACACTTATAACTCTCTAAAAGATTCCTCGACAGCTACTCCTTCGACCCCATATGATCATGGTGCAGGACACATAAATCCACGGAAAGCTGTTGACCCTGGTTTGGTTTATGACATAGGGGCGCAGGATTACTTCGAATTCCTATGCACACAACAACTCAGCCCTTCACAGCTAATGGTTTTTGGAAAGTTCTCCAACCGAACTTGCCACCACTCGCTTGCTAATCCAGGGGACTTGAACTACCCAGCCATTTCTGCAGTTTTTCCTGAAGACGCAAAAGTTTCAACACTGACCCTTCACAGAACAGTCACCAATGTGGGTTCTTCGATTTCGAATTACCATGTTAGAGTCTCGTCGTTCAAAGGTGCAGTCGTGAAGGTTGAGCCATCAAGATTGAATTTCACCAGCAAACACCAGAAACTATCTTACAAGGTGGTTTTCGAGACAAAATCTCGTCAAAAAGCACCTGAATTTGGATCCCTAATTTGGAAAGATGGGACACACAAAGTAAGAAGCCCAATTGTGATCACATGGCTAGCATCAATATAGTTCAGGTTACCAAATATGAACTAGCATTTTGTTTGCGGAGGATAATAAAAAACATGTTGCGGCAAAGTCCCTGTGTTTTCAGCAGTTGTTTTCACTAGAAAATAGTTTCTTTTGTTCATTACTAGCTACTTAATTGTCAAATTACTTGTGGCAACATTTGGCAATACCAGTCAAGAAAAAGTCCAGCTTCAAGTTTTGCATTGTCATCACGCTGCTCTATTCAATCAGACAAATCTTTGTTCTATTGAACCCTTGTTTTTTTTTTTTTTTTTTTTTTTAATTTTTTTTTTTTTATCATTTATATGCATAATGCATCTCTATTTTCAGGAGCCAAATGGAGAGGGGACAAGAATAATCATGTTGAGATATATACATTAACTATGAATTTTGGCTTGGATATAGTATTTATTATGGAACAACTGTTTATTCAATTTTAATAAAGTTTTAAATAGATCATATATTCGTTTGTGTCCTTTACTTATATAGTAGATGATTTAGGGTGTGTTGGGTATGAAGGAAAACATTTTCCGGAAAATATTTTCCTTATCAAGAGAAGGGAAGACATTTTCTAAAACTCCTTCTCAACATTCCCCACCCTCACCAACTCACCCACCCACCCCCCCCCTCTCCAAAAAAGGCTTTTTTTATAAATTTCAGTTTTTCTGTTACCACCCACCCTACTACCCCTACTACCCCTCCACCCCATCCCATCCCCAACCCCACCCCAACCCCCTCCCTCCCGCTAAAAAAAAAATGACATTTTTTTACCTTAGTTTTTTTTTTTGCAATTTCAAATTTCTGTTTTTTCATTTTTCTGCACCACCCACCCCCACTCTCCCCACTACCCCCAGCCCCAGCAACCCCCCCCTCCCGGACAAATTTTTTTTTTTTTTTTACTTTTTTTGTAACTTCAAATGTCTGCTTTTTTTTATTTTTTTGCCCCCTCCCACCCCCTGCCCCCCTCCCCCCGTCCCCCCAAAAAAATATTTTTTGAATATATTTTTCAGTTTTAGTTTTTTTTTTATCGGTTTAAAGGTTCAAAATTTTACAAGTACCAAAGTTATGTGTTTGGAGGTTTATGTGTTTGGAAGTTTACGGGTTTAGAAATTATAAAGTTTACGGGTTCGAAATTCCGTGGTTTCGAAAGTTTAGCGGTTCGAAAGTTTATGAAATTTGTGGACTCGGAAAGTTGTTGGTTTGAAAGTTTATGGCTTCATGTTTATTATATCTAAATTATTTATGAATACTCTTGAGAGGTCATTTTCCTTAATTTACGTACCAAACACTGAAAAATGAATAAGATTACTACTTGTTTTCCAAGAAAATTTTTCTTGGAAAATATTTTCCACGGAAAATATTTTCCGTTATACCAAACACACCCTTAGTGTATAGAGTTTAGCTTATACACGGAAGATTAAATCATCGGTTCTTATAAGTATAAAGATCATGTTCACAATCTAATAATGGAATTGGACACACCATCAGGAATGATTGTAGTATAAGATTAAATATAATTTATCTTGATTATGAGAATGGTTTAATTTCGACTTCTTGTACTAGTACATTTTGTATGTATTGAACGGACCAAGTAGAGATAAGTATTTTATACTTACTTAATAAAATAACTTCTCTAGCCACTAAACGTACTTATACTCTTAATCTTGATATAATTATTAATATTTGTGTATATTATTTATTGTTTTGATTATTAAAAGGCGAGATTCTTTTGTGGGTCAATATGCCTGGTAAATTGGACAATGATGATATACATTGGCGAAGTAATAGTTAGTTAAAAGAATCCATGTCTGTAATTTAATTTATTTGATTAGTATCTTAATCTTAACATGAGAGTTAAATAAGGTTTAATGGAAGAATTTCGAAATTGAACTGAGGAGTGCAGTTACAAATTTTTAGTGGAATAATTTATAATTTATTATGGTAGTATTAATTCGGATATTTCGAATTAAGTCCATAATAGGAAGCCTCGTTAATTAAATAATGCGGTCCGTCCTGTGCCCGAATAATTAGGAATTAAATGGAATTCTATTTCTTGGTGGAAAAGGAAGACCCAACAGGTTTAGAAAAATGTTTTAAACCCTAAAACCCGTGGCTATATGATGTGTCTTATTCCATAAGGAGGCTAGGCTTTTACTACACAGTTTTCCTAGGAGAAACTCGCTCACACGAATTTCGCTAATTCTGAACATTATTCGGGTCACACATCATAAGACTGTGGAACTGGAGGATGATTTCGTGGACGGCTTTGCTCTTGCTCGGAGGTTCCAATCGCGATCGCGGTCACGCTTCAAGAGATAAGTACCACTACAAGAAATCACACTTATTGCGGCGACAAAGGTCGCCACAAAATTCCTATAAGTCGCTGCTAAAAGGTATTAGCGGCGACTTTTGTATTGCCACAAAGAAAACCGTAAATGAAGGTTATTTGTAGCGACATGTATAGTCGCCACTAAAAGAGCATATTCTGTGGCGACAAAGTTGCCACAAAAGGTTGTTAAAAATGCTACAAAAAAGTGTTCCATAAGAACAAATATTGGATGGGTCGCCGCTATATATTCACCTTTAGCAGCGACAATTGTCGCCACAAAATATATTTATGTTCAGTGGCAAGATTTTGTCGCCGCTATAAATATTCTTTAGTAGCGACTAAAATTGCCACAAAATATATTTATGTTCAGTGGCAAGATTATGTTGCCACTATAAATATTCTTTAGTAGCGACTAAAATTGCAACAAAAAATATTTATGTTCAGTGGCAAGATTATGTCGCCACTATAAATNACCTGTGTACCCAGATCAACAACGTCAAAATTTTTCAATGAAAAAGTTGGTAGAGAGAAATTGACTACAATAGTATCTTTGTATTTCTGTCAATGGCAATTGATAATTCCGTTAAACTCCCCGGCAACGGCGCTAGTGACGTTGATCACGCCCAACTATGCCTTATAAAAAGGACTCTGCGGACGTTGCAAATATAACCCGAGTATTACGCCCAGGGTCGAATCCACAGAGAGTTAACCTATCAACCGCTATCTTCAGACCCACCAAGTCTTCAGAACCAGCTTCTCAAATATTCAAATTCTCAGTTGAGTGTTCTTTAACAACTAGCTTGCAAGTAACTAATGGTTGTAACTAAATTAATAAGGTTGTAAACAATTATGAGAAAAAGCTAAGGCAATGATTTCCCCTATTGATGGAATCCCTTCTGTTTATGCTCATACAAATTTACCCACACATCTCTATCAATCATGAACGCTAATCTTACCGCAACTCTCTCCCAAGTAATTACAGTAATCTACTATTGCACTCTCCCGAGATACACTAGCTTGCTTTATTTAACACAATTCAATTTAGATTGCACCCAAGGCTTCGTTATTCCTAATCCCGCCTTTAAACCCGCAATTATAGATTCCTCTAATAATTTAGGAGTGGTGTTGTTCAACAATACCCTAAATATGCACTCTTTTCCAAGTTATGCACACTAAATAGGCACAGCTAATTGAGGATCCTGTCAATTAACTACAACGAACACGAAGTTGAACAAATAAAGATTAAACTAGCAATTTGTATTCACATAAACAAGAAGTTCATCACCCAATAGGTTCCATCAAAGCCTTAGACAAGGAATTTAGCTACTCATGGCTATGGGAAAATAAACTAAGATTGAATTCATCATAAAATCAAAAGAAAAGAAGAAAGATGTTTAGAGTATTTTCTCACAATGTTTTTCCTTGCTAAGAAACCTAAAAAATCAATACATGCCTCTCTTGGGCGAAGTCTAATGTTTTAAATAGGGTTTAGGTCTAAAAATCCTGTAATTGACACTTTTGTCCCTGAAGTTTACTGCGCCTGCCGCGGTTCTGCCGCGGTCGCGGTAGAACCGCGGCCAAACACCCTCGCGGAATCTCAATCTTCTGCAGCTGCTTCCCACCGCGGTTCTGCTGCGGTCGCGGTGGAACCGCGGTGGATCCAGTTCTCTGAATCTTCAGCCTGTTTTTGCACGGGTCACTTGGGAAATTTCACAGTTGGCCTCTTTTTCATCACTTTTGACTCCAAAACTGCTCCTTAGCCTTCTTTATACATATATCACCTATAAATCATGAAAAGCACTAATAAGAGCATTTTGTCATCACTTTTAGCATTAAAACCACACAAGAAGGTGATTATTTAAGGTGTGATTATAGTCAAATTCACCTATTATCAATAGATAAGCGACCAACCTTAGTCGCTAATTTCCAGGATTTTTAAAAAAAAAATAAAATCTAGGTTCATTAGCAACCAACCTCGGTCGCTAATTTTTAATTTTTTAATTTTTTTTAAATATAAGCGACCAACCTTGGTCGATAATTGCCAGAAAATATTTTTTTAATAGGTTAGCGATCAACTTTGGTCGCTTTTCTGGGTAATAATTTTTGCATAAAATGCCTGTTTTGGCAGCTACACCACCTGCCAGCATACCAAAATCCCTAAATAACAATATAATTCAATTTATAAACTACAATTTCTGTCACGACCCGGATTTCCACCCTCGGGAGACGTGATGGCGCCTACTAATACGAGTTAGGCAAGCCAATTAATTGCACAATTTACCTTTTTACCCATTTTATATTCATTAACAATTTTGAAATAATAACATTTAAACAACGAAATTTAAAATAAGCAAAAGAAAGAAACAATAAGCTATCTGAACATGAATATCTAATACAACTGTTTGAGTCTCGACTACCCAGAACTGGTGTCACAGTTTCATAGACGGTCTAAGAATACTACAAATAAAGGGTCTGAAAGAAATGAATACAACACTGTCTCTAGAAATGCATGGAAGAAACATGAATAGTAGATAGAAGGAGACGCTAAGGGCTGCGGACGCCCGCAGGACTACCTCGGGTCGCCTGACGATCAAGAATCAACAATCTCACTGCGGTCCGAAGTCCACAACACTGGGGTCTGCACAAAAGAGTGCAAAGTGTAGTATCAGCATAACCGACCCCATGTGCTGGTAAGTGCGTAGCCTAACCTCAGCGAATTAGTAACGAGGCTAGGACCAGACTACCAAATAAACCTTTAAAGTTCAAATATATATAGCGGAAAAGAAATACGGAAATAAACAAGTAAGGATGGGAGGGGGAAACATGCTTCGGGGAAAAACAGGTAAAAACCGAATGTCAATAGAATATAAAGGAATCAAAATCCAACCACTAACAAGAATAACGAAAAACAAAGGAAGATTTC